GAGTCTTAGGTCATTCACAACCATCATGAGGAGGAAAATAGAATGTATAGCATTTCAAGCAGAAGAAAATTCAGCATAAAAACAGAGCCCAGAGATAGGAAAATAAACCCCAAATGTACAATAAGATGATAATAAGGTGACAGGGATGAATATTTTAGCAATTACAATAGATATCAATTATGAAATCCATCAATTAAATAACTTAAACACTTAGGTTGAACCTTTAAAAGACTAATCTAACAAAATAGGGTTTTCAAGACACTCTTAAAATTAAAACACATAGGTTAAACATTAAGGAGTTACTTAGTAAGTGATGGTTCATGTTGGCAGGTAAATTGAAGAGTCACCTAGAAGATGCCTCTCTAGGCACGTCTGCCTGGGAGTAGATTAGGTGAGAAGATCCACCCTAAACACCTGCAGCACCAACTCCCAGGCTGGGGTCCCACACTGAATAAAAAGGAGAGAGAGAGCCAAACACTGATGCACTGGTGTTCATATTTTCTCCACATCCCAGCTGTGGGTGTGATGTCAGCATCCCCCCACCTGGTTATTGCCCCCATGACTCCCCAGCCTGGTGGACGGTACCGTTGATTGTTGATGTGGGAGGGAAAATCAACCTGAATTTCCTTAAGCTGCTTTTGTCTGGTAGCTTTTTTTTTTTTTTTTTTTTTTGGTTTTTCAAGACAGGGTGGTAGCTTTTTACAGCAAATAGAAACATAACTATTACATGGTACATCGATCAAGATAAGCTGTTTTATTGCAGATATAAATACCACATAATATTTATTGTATGCTTATAAATAATTACAGTGGGGAATTTTTAAAATATATTTTACATTGGGTTGCCTCCCCTCACCATATACAAAATTGTGGAAAAAACTTTAATAATAGTATAAAGGGTTACATCTGTCACAAATAAATAAAAATCCTGTTATATATTAACAGGTTTAAAAACTTATTGTTAAGAAGGTATGCTTGCCCATGTTATATGCCACATATGGGTTGACAAAGGAACTCTGTTGTGAATATCGTTCTGTATAAATAAAACACTGATTGGCCAGTGGCCAGGCAGGAAGTATACGTGGGACAAGGAGACAGGAGAATTCTGGGAAGTGGAAGGCTGAGGGAGACACTGCCAGCCACTGCCATGACAAGCAGCATGTGAAGATGCCGGTAGGCCACGAGCCATGTGGCAAGGTATAGATTTATAGAAATGGATTAATTTAAGCTACAAGAACAGTTAGCAAGATGCCTGCCATGGCCATACAGTTTGTAAGCAATATAAATAAGTCTCTGTGTTTACTTGGTTGGGTCTGAGCGGCTATGGGACTGGCAGGTGACAGAGATTTGTCCTGACTGTGGGCAAGGCAAAAAACTCCTGCTACAGGACTCTATACATTAAAACAAAGGACAGAATCTCTCATACTGCATAGAAATCAATTAGAAATGTGCCAAAGACTTTGTGATAACACCTGAAACTTTGAAACTGCCAGAGGAAAAAATGTAGGCACAACGAGATACAGGCATAGGCAAGGAGTTCATAAAAAAAGGTTTGAAATACCACAGGAAATAAGGGTTGTTTTCTAAGGCATATTCGCCATGTAGGGATGGCAAGGTGAGGTTGCTGGAAATTAATAAACTTCCCCACAGTGAAGGAAACACCCAGCAGAATGTATAGAAAGCCATAGAGCAGGGGATTCTTGCCACCTACACCACAGACAAGGGGCTTAATTCTGAATGTATAAACAACTACAAAAACCACACACATACACACACACATGTGCATGTACACACACACATACACACCTTCTAATTAATGAATGGATCAATGAACTGAACAGACAGTTCCAAAACAAAGAACCACAAAGGAGCAATAAACATCTGAAAAGGTGTTCCACATCCTCAAGCCTTCAGGAAACGCAGATTAAACCTTCCTGACAGTATTTCCCACTCTGGTCAAATCGGTTGTCATGAGAAAGCAAACAATAACAAATGCTAACTGTGAGGCTGTGAGGAAAGAAGAGCCTGATTAGGTGCTGGTTGAACTGTAGACTGACTGAGCCACTGTGGAAATCAGTGTGTAAGGTTCTCAAGAAACTAAAAGTACAACCCAGGGATACCACTCCTGGCATATATCCAAATTATCTAAGTCCTGCCACTGAGATGTTTGCACATCCACGTTTACTGCTGCAGTATTCCCAATAGCTAAGATATGGAACCATTCAGTTCATCCCTGTGGTCACTGCTGCCATCCTCCAAAGGATGTCCTGCATCAGCCACCATACAGCCTGTGGGACAAATATAAGGAGTAGAGGGCTCAGTGGCTTCTAGATTCTAGGGAGATCTTAGCTTGAATTGAGGACTAGGAAGAACCCCTGAGACCTACGATGTGCCCATCCACTGAGCCATTTCCCCATTAGTTGAAAAAAGTAGACTGGACTCCCCACCTTCCCCAGCCCCTCAAAGTGCCCACACACTCTCCCCACAGATGCTACAAAGGGAGGATCCTCAGCTAATGGGATAGTGAGGAAGGCCTGGACTGTGAGCCCTGGACCCTGCTCTACTCAGGGACCCAAAACAGCTGCGTGCTGAAATCCTTTGATTCCAAGCACAGACATTTCTGCCCTGATCCACTAGCTCCTCTCTATCCTGGAGGGCCATCTGCCGGCGAGCATGGAGAACAGCGGGAAACACATGGACCCAAGTCTCAGGTGTGAGCTGATCAGAGCTGCCTGGTGATCTGTCTGCAGGGAAGACGCTGCTGTACATAAGACTGTGGACAGGGCCTTGTGTTCATCCCGGAGCAGAGGCAGCTTCCGGAGGAGGCAGTATACAGACACAGAGGGGGAAAAAACAACAACAACAAAACAAACAAACAAAAAACTAGAGTCTCCGGAAGGGAAAAAATGAGCTTGAGGCCTCTCACCAGATGACAGTCGTGAATCCCATGACAATCAGCACTTGCTGTGCAGGTTGCTGACAGAGACAGTATGTTTTTTATAGAGAGATGCTTTCAAATTCAAATGGTAGACTGGCAATGAGCCATGGTCCAACCCAAGTTACACGACCTTCCATGGCCTGATTCCTTTCCCGATATTTCTGGCCCTCCCACAAGCAGGAGTAAAACTTTGTTGACATTTAAAGAAAATAGCTCTTGCCCTGCCCTTCTCCTCACGTAGGTAGGATTTTACCTACCTACCTGCTTAGATTCCATCCAGTGAACTCAGGAACCACATCAATGAATTCTTTGGCCAAAAAACGTTTCTTAGTCACCCGTTGAAGTGTGAATGTGGCAACACCTACCAGCCACTTTGTTTTCAGAAGACCACACCCGCATCCTCAGGTCTTACTTCCCCCCACCCCCAGGAGCCTCTTTCTTTTGTCTCTCCTGGTGTTCTGAATCTTTTTAATTCACCCCAACTCTGCTCCAGACTCTCTCATCCTGCAGTTCTCTTCTGTGGTGAAGTCAAGACTCTGGCTTCGCTCAGCAGAGCTCTCTGAAGGGTGAGGGACTGCAGAGGATGGTGGGATCAGTAGGACGCTGTGTCACCACCCAGGGTGAAGGGCTTGGCAGTCCAAGGTTGTGAAACTGGTAGGTCCCTGGGAAAACAGTAACAGGGGTGAGTCTCCAGATGGTCACGGACTCAGTCCCAGAGCAGGTTTTATTAAGTGTGGGCTACAGATATGGCTTTCAGAAATTTAAGCATTTAAGATGTATGTGGCACTTGAAAAACTTTGCCTGCTCCATTCCCACGTGTCAAAGGGTGAAACTTTCCTGGTGGAATGAATAGCGTTAACAAGATTATGCAAGTGACCCTGGTGTGGTCTCATTTATGAAAGTGATTAATTTGGTAATTAGTCTAACCTTCTGAGACATAACATGCCCAAGTTTCCAATCATTAGAGCTGGGACACCATCCTGTCCATGACCAAAGCCTGAGACTTCTCAGACTCCATATGTAGGTGTGATCATTTCACTCCCACTCAACACCGCACCAGCCTCAGACATTCACTTGAGGTTGTTTATCTGGCATTTAACTGTTAGCTGGGCGGATGCATGAATGGCTGGAGGGACATTATGGTTGTAAAAACCACTGAAGAGGAAATCTTAAGAAAAGGGAAACCCAAGCTGGGGTGCAGACAGCTTGGTTATTAAAGTGTTTGCCTTGCAAGCATGAAGACCTGAGCTTGGTCCCCAGAACTCACGTTCCAAATATTAAATATTTATAATTTATAAGCCACCAGGTAGGTGTTGTGCACTTGGAAGTGAGTGTTAGAAAAGAGAGATAGGCAGACTCCTCTGGTCCGCTGGCTGGCAGTAGGCAGGTTCCAAGGTCTCCACACACACTTTTCTGAAGGTCTTAGACTTCCGAGTTTACTGGAAATGCACAGCAGTACTAACAGTACAGTAACAACTTCTTTACTCATGGTGATTTCAGACAGGCAAGTATTTGGGACGAGACCTTCTAGGAGGTTTAAAAACAGAACTAAAACAAGCTGACTGGTCTTTCTTCTGATGGTGAATATGCAGGTTTGGGCAAGGAGGTGGAAAACAAAACAAAACAAAACAGTGTTGTAACCAAGGAGAAAACAAAACTGAGCACTCGGCCGGACTGGGTGGGGAGACATCCTGTGCAGTATTACCTAATCACCCATCTCCTGATTCCCTCTCAAGATATAAGTAACCCCCGTGGGAGGCACCTGCTTTATTCTTTCCCTCCTGCTTCTGCTGGTGACGGTTCCCCGGGCAGGTGAGTTCTGGGAAGGGACCTCAGACCCTGGGAGGACCCGGGAATATCAGAGATCTGTGCCAGGCAGTTTATAGTTTGCTGCTGGAGTTGGATAGACAAGAACCATGGAGTTCCTCAAAGAACTGGGAGAGACCTCCCCACCCCCGAAGGGAAAGATGATACTGGAGATGGAGATGACATTCTCATTCTCTCTCTCTCTCTCTCTCTCTCTCTCTCTCTCTCTCTCTCTCTCTCTCTCTCTCTCCAGTTCAAGTCATGGCTGCTGCCAGCTGGGAACAGAATAAGGATTCATGATCCCAGTTGCAGATATCAAGTTCATTCCTTGTTATGTTCTGGTTTTGACTCTGCTCCTCGTGGTCCTGCGGGATGGGCAATGCACACCTGTACCACCCCACTCAGGTGAGTTCCTGGGATCTGACTGGGGGATGGGGGAGGAGAAGTGTAGACTTAGAGCTACAGTGACTAGGAGAGCCAGTCTTCCCTGTGGAACTGCTTCTGGCCCTCTTCATCCACCCACCACTTCTGTGGGCTCCTTCTGGGTCTCCAGGCTTGTTCTTGACCTCACCCCACAGCATTCCAGGACTTGTAGAGGAGCCGAAGACTAATGGAAATTAGTTGCTGCAGAGTAGGAGGCAGGGCTAGAAGAAATGAATTATCAAGATGGCAGGGAGAGAAATCACTGAACAGTGCTGTGACCGGATGTGATGGGCAATGGGTGTGATCCCGCTAGGAAGTCAGTGGACAGTCTCCTGTACCCAGGCTTTGTGCACCCTGCAAACTATCATTCTCATCCTGCTCTGGGATGTCCTGGATGCTGTGAATATATGTTGCTATGATTGGGTGATAAATAAAATTTGATTGACCAGTGGCCAGGCAGGAAGGATAGTGTAGGCAGGACAAGGAGAGAGGAGAATGTTTGGTGGAAGAAGGCTGAGGAGAGAGACGCTGCCAGCTGCCATGAGGAGAAGCATGATATAAGATACCAGTAAGCCACGAGCCACGTGGCAACTTATAGACTAATAGATATGGGTTAATTTAAGCTATAAGAACTAGATAACAAGAAGCCTGCCACGGCCATAGAGTTTATAAGTAATATAAGTCCCTGTGTGTTTACTCGGTTGGGTCTGAGTGGCTACAGGACTGACAGGTGAGAGAGACTGGTCCTGATTGTGGGCAAGGCAGGACCAGGAAAACTCTAGAAATCACCGAAGATGCTGTGACTGGATGTGATGGGCAATAGGTGTGAGCCCTCTAGGAAGTCAGCAGACAGACTCCTGTATCCAGGCTTTGTGCACTCTGCAAACTGTCTTTTTCATCCCCTACAAGTTCAGCTGCCAGGTCAGGATGCCACTTGCCCCCACTGATCCGGATTGCTATGTGCTGACTCTGGGGAAATATTTTCCTTTTCGTGGTGATTCCCCTGCAGGCTTTACAGCAGGCAGAAGAAAGATGATCCAGAAAGACAAGAATGAAACTCGGCTCAGCCCAATTTTATTTTAACTGGCACTGGAGCAGGACTTCTAGAGTCTGACCCAGATCATTCTACTTTAGCCATATTTAAGCACAGCCCAAATTAGGAAAAAAGTATTCAGATAACAATTAACTCAGCCCCAAAGTGCACAACAATTTAAGATATGTTTACATTGAGATTCCTTACAAAGTCTATCTGGCTTCTTTTACAAGAATGGGTACTGTTAACTTAGAGATAGTGCCCAACATGTAGGGTCTAGGGAGTTTGACTGAAGTGACCATACTACGTGTGGGTATTGGGATTATTCTGGCCCTAAGGTAGCATAGAAGTCACTTAGGCTGCTATAAAGCACAGGTGACATCACTCATAAGAGTGGGTTTATGGTCTGAAGACAATGCTCAAGACTTAGGGGGAACATCTGGGATAAGTAAAAACATGAATTCTGAGAGATAAGACAGAGCCTGTGATAACAGACAGCAAAGAATCAACAGGTCATAGAAATGACATCATTCCTAGTTCCAGGAAGAGCAGCTGTGTACCTCATTCCTTTGAAGAGGTGAGCTGTGTGGTAAACTTTCCATGCTTCTCCAGGGCTTATCTGTGTGCACAAGGCTCTTTGTTCTCTACACCGATTGTCTTCAATGGTGCTAATCTCTTATTGACCACAGATGATTCCTCAGCCCTAGCCAGATCAGGCAACAGCAATTCTTAGCCCAAATAGCACATGAATAGCCCCATCCCAATTCTTCATAAAGCCCTGGCTCCCCCATGAAACCTCTGGAATTGGTCTTGCACTATCCATGTTAGTGTCAGAATTCTTCTTTTCCAAGGACCCACAAGAATGGCCCATTAAACTCTGAGAGAGTGTTCAGTAGTGTTTCCAGTCAAAAAATTCAAAAGACTACCCCCAATTCATCCCTAAATCACCACTGTTAGGTTATCACAGAAGTAGCCCCACTTCTCTGAGACCAATTTCTGCCTGATTTCATTTCTGTTGCTATGACAAAAACACCATGACCAAAGCAACTTGTAGAATTTTTTTTTAAAAAAAGACTTTATATATATAATTCCAGGTTATACTCCATTACTGAAGAAAGTAAGTAGGAACTGAAATCATCACATTTATAATCAAGATCAGAGGAAGAGAAATGTACCCACATTACCTTTTTGCTTGTTCAGGTCAGTTGCTTCCATCTCCCTACCTGGAAATGATGCTGCCTAGGGACTGAGCTGGTTATTCTACATCAGTTAGTTTAAGACAACCCTGGGTTCTGGGTCACAGTGCCTTATAGGCAGGTCCAGCCATGTTCTGTAGATGTGTTTTTCTGTCCCACCTGGCAGAGTCACAAATAACCACACTGAGATTTCTTATTGATAAGTATTGAATACCCAGTTTTTGGGTATCCTCTGGGGATGCAATAAGCCAGTCAAGCTGAATTAATAAGACCAGGTTTAATAAACAGCAAAGCACCTCCTGGGAAGGCAGGAGGGAGAGCACAGGGCAGATTGGAGCCCCAGTTATTGGGTATTTTCCACCAATGTCATAAGCCAATCAAGCCAAATTAATAAGTCCAGGTTTAATAAACAGAGTGAAGCAACTCCTGGGTGACTCTTGGGAAGGCAGGAGGGAGATCCAGGGCAGATCTGGTGACCAGGTCTTCAATATCCTGTTGGTGTGGTCTTGAGAAGCCCCAGTGGAGGGGCTGACCCTTGACATTCTGAGGGTGGGGGCTGGAGAGGGCAGCTCCAGGGGAGATCCCCAACACTTATTACTTATGAAAGCTCAGCTGATAGCTTAGGCTTGTTTCTAACTAGCTCTTTTAACTTAAATTAACCCATTTCTATTAATTTATTTTCTGTCTCATGCCTATATACCTTTACTCTACTTCCCATCCTGCTTTCTCTGAGTTCTGATGTCTCCTTGAGACCCTGCCTTTCTTCTTCCCAGAGTCCTCTGTGTCTAGCTGCCCCACTATACCTCCTGCCCAGCTCATGGATGTCTAGATCCAACGGCAGCAAGAAGAGGGAGACTCTGGGCTTGTAATGGGTCTTTTTAAACCTCAAAGCACAACCTTCCTCCAATAAGGTCACACTTACTCACACAAGGCCACACTCCTAATCCCTCCCAGGCAGGGCCACTCCCTGATGTCCAAGCATTCAGATATAGGAGCCTATGGGGGCCATTCTCATTCAAACAGCACGACCCTGGCTTTGTGGAGTTTTTAATCCCTGGGCATCTGCCAAGGCCTGTGCTCTTCTCCCTGGGACACATGTACTTCTCTGAGCTTTTACACAGGCCCTTCACTACCAGCTTTAGAAGTTCTGGATTTTCTATTTCTTGCAGTATGGACTAGCCTCTGCAAGCCATTCCTGGGGCACATGGGCATTATCTCCAGAAAATTCCGACTGTTTGCTGACTACTAAAAGTCCTGTGTGTCCAAAGCATGGGGAGACAGCTGAGTGGTAGAGGGCCTGCTTCACAACCATGAGGACCCGGGTTTGATCCCTAGAACTCCTGTAATAGAGCCAGGCATGGTGCTGTGCGCTTTTATTGTCAGTACTAAGAAGGCAGAGGCAGGGGAACCCTGGGGTCAGTGGCAAGTCTGTCTAGTCTACTTGGTGAGTCCCAAGCCTTTTAGAGACCTTGTCTAATCAATACTATTGTGGCACACTTGTGGGAGGTGAAAAACATGCTTTATTTGCTAGAATCTGGGGTCTATATAAAAAATACTTCCTTCTAAGACATTTATCATTATTTATTATTATTTATTGCTGCATATTTGGAAGTTATTATATCAGTGATTCTTTCTTTAAGTTACCTTCGTAATTCCCTGTTTCTGCTTTAGCATAAACAGTTTCCTTTTATGGAACTTCTAAGTAGATTTTTTTTACAGATAACTGATGTATATTTGTCTGATCCTGTAAAGTGCCCGAGTTTGTGACCTTTAGTTCACAACCACAAAGCCTGTACTCTGCTCTGGAGGGCTCATGTTCATGTCCAGCACATTTTCAAGCAAGATGTACTGTTGTTTGTTTATGCTCTTTTGGGAAGCCCGCCACCCAGCTCCCAAATAAATCACACATGGGAGCTTATTCTTAATTATGAATGCCTGGCTTTAGTTTAGCTTGTTGCTAGCCAGCTTTTCTTAATTTTAAAATATCCTCTCTATGTTTCACGTCAGGGCTTTTTTCATTTTCTTACTTCTGTAAATCTTACTCTTACTCCTTGGCTTGCTGTGTAGCTGTGTGGCTGTGCCCTGATGTCCTTCTCCTTCTCTGGCTGCTGCTTCTCTTTCATCCCTCTCTTCCCAGATTTCTCCTTCCATGTATCCTCTCTGCCTGCCAGCCCTGCCTATCCTTTCTCCTTTCTTACTATTGGTCAGTTCTTTATAAGCCCTTCAGGTGTTTTAGACAGGCACAGTAACAAAGCTTCACAGAGTTAAACAAAGGCAACATAAACAAAAGTAACACACCTTAAAATAATATTCCCCAACAGTGTACTGAGAGAGAAAGAATCCCAGCCATTCAAGGAGAAATCCAAGCCTTAGGAGTGGCAGGAAGGGGAAAGTGGGGGTGGGGGACTGTGAGAGAGGAAGAGAACAGGTGGTGGAAGAGGTAGAGAGGAGAAGGGAAGAGGAAGCTGCTGAAGGGGACAGGAAGGGAGGTCCCCAAACCTGCAGCAGTCCACCTCAGAGCAGAAATTGGGGGTGGGGCAAGAGGCAAAGAGTGTTTTTTTAAACATGTTTTTTGCATTTTTTAGTGTAATTACATTGCAAACTTGTTAAAAGTTCCTTTTAAATTATTATTTATTATTATTTATGAATAAAAAATAAATTTATTATTTATTTAAACCTATTATTTAGGTTTCAGGCTCACACCCACACAGGAGAGTGTATGTGTGCTCACACCCACACAGGAGAGTGTATGTGTGCTCACACCCACACAGGAGAATGCATGTGTGCATCCTCACTAGGACTTCCTACCTGTTTGTGCAGTCTGCTGAACAGAACAGCTCAAGGACATTGTGTCTTCTGCTGCTGTTAGGGAAAGTCTGGGAGACCAGGGGCCATAAGTGTGCTGGAAACAACTGCCTGAGGAAGGGGAGGGAGATCGGGGCTTCAAGCAGGTCACAGACAGAGATGAGTTAGGGGTGTGGTTTAACAAGGGAGAATCTGAGATCTGACGCCCAGTGTTGTCATGTGAAGGATGCTGTGGGAACTCGGGTGAGCACTGTGCTCACAGGTGACAGCTCCCCTTCCCAGGCCGAGTTGCAGCATTTCTCCAGGAGGCCTTTCCTGAACTCCCAGGTTCCATGTGGAATTTACCACGTGATCTATGACGCCTCCTTTCCCTGTGTGTTCAGTAGATTTTCAGTCCCAAGAACAGATACTTGTAGTGATATTTTATTTGTGCTGAAATGTGGTGATATTTTATTTGTGCTTTAATAAATAAAGTTTGCCTTCAGATCAGAGGAAATAGCAAGCCATTTTAAGTAAACAAAGAAGTCAGGCAGTGGTAGAGCACATCCTTAATCGGGTTGCTTATCAGGCAGAGTCTCTGTGTTCTGTGAGTTCAAGGCCACACTAGGGAACAGAGCCAAGTGTGGTGCCACTCACCTTTAATCTCAGTACCAATCATAGAGACCTGGAGGCATGTACAGACTGGAAGTGACAGAGATGGACAGGAAGATGAAGTGATGTAGCTAGAGAGACAACAAATCTTGTAGCAGAACAGCAAGGCATATAAGCCTGGCTAGACAGGAAGTTGCTCTCTTTGGGAGATGCAGAGTTGGTGAGGTAAGGATGGCTTTCACCCCTATATTTGGCTCCGTGTTTTGTATTTAATAAGACTATTTAGAAATTTGTCTACAGATACTACCTGATATATTTTGTTCCTCAACACATGATAAAAGTCACTAAAAGTACTTGTGAGGGAAGTCCTCCTGGTGCCACTGTGTGCATCTGAGGGGTCTTCCCAATATAAGACAGTCAAAGATAGCCCAGAAATAAGGATCCCGAAGCTAGTGGACATCTTGACTAGAGGCTTCTCTTCCTGCCCTTCTGTCCTTCAGAGGGATTCTGGGTGTCATCTGGGTGTCACAGAACCATGAATACTATGACTTTCTGCTCCCACTGTGGACCTCACCTTCATGTTTTTCTCATAGACACACACTTTCTTAGTTGCAATGTCATTGTCAGAGCTCGTCCCACACCTCCACAGCCCTGGTGTGAAGGACAGTGCTCAGTGGATGGAGAATCTTTCCTTCAGTATGATAATGACAACAAAGCCACACCTTTGGGTGACCTGGGAAAGGAGGCACATGCCACTCATGTGTGGAAAGATCTGAACCAAAGGCTGGAATACTTGGGGCAAGAGCTCAGGAAGATGCTGGCTGACACCAAACAAGAGATGGCTGACCTCAGTGGTAAGTGTGGGATGGAGTTCAGAGGCAGAGACAGGTGGCAAGGGAGAGGAAGGGCAGAGCACATGTGGGAATGAGATGGTGGTTGTATCTGTGTGAAAGAGCTGAGCATTGGCCCTACCTGGGAAGCATATGGTACCCAATGAGTAACCAAGTCATTGGAAATGATACTGGCTCATAAGCCAGTGGGAAAAGTCTTGACCTTTGAGGAGGTGATGGATCTATCAAAAGAGAAGAATGATGACTTTGTATGTGGTTTGCAGGTCACCCTACTTTACAGACCATCATGAATTCTAAGTATGAACGAGGACAAATCGTTGGTGCCTCCTGGCGATTTAACATCAGTGCAGAGTACTTCATCCTGAACACAATGAATATGAGTTGGACACCGATTAGTTTTGAAGCCAGAGGTATCATGAATGATGAACAATTCATAAAAGATCTCAAAGTAATCTCCACAGCAGACTCTAGCCACTGGCTCAAGGAACTCTTAAAGCTCCAGAAGGAAAAGCCAAGTAGGTATTACCTAGATTAACAGAAGGCAACTCCATCAAATTTGATAGACTGAGAGAATGATTTCTTGGTGATGTGCCTTTCTGGAGATCCAGTGATGACCACAAGGATCTCTCTTCCCCATCTCACCTCCCAATGTTTCTCATTCCCTACTAACCAATAGTCCAGGCATTCGATGGCGATGGCATGCTAATAGGGCCCAAGTCTATATGCATCACTGTAAACTTCCAGCCTTTTCTGCCTCACTTATAGCTGCCCATGTATCAGCACCAACATTATTTTGAAAGGCTTCATTTTCTTTCTCTGACACAATTAAATACCACCAATTGCACCAACATCCAGAAAGCTCTAACCACAGTAAATAAGTCACACTGTTTGATGGTTTGATAGACATTTGCTTTCTTTGGTAATGAAATAAATTCTGCAAGTATAATGAACACACAACTCTACTTCTCTCTCTACTCAGGAATTGTAAAATCATTATTACACATGAGTTCCTAGGAATGCCTGGAGAGAGAAGGTGTTGAATGAAGTATATTTTTAGCTTTATCCATATTTCTTCTGATTTTTTTTAAAGGATCAACACCAAGGACCTCAGATGTCCGCAAGCATCCATCTACCAGTCAACTTCACAATGAGAAAGTGTTTATCCCTGTGGCAGCAGTCATTGTCATCATCTTACCTTTTACTGTTGGCCTATTAGTAAAACGTTGTCCCCAAGGAGGTAAGGAGCATCTGGGGGTTCTCTCTGTTTTTTGGTGGAGTTTGTCTGCTGAGGACTTGGAACAGGTGTCCCACTGATATCAAGGATGTGAATTCGGTTTTCAGGTTTACATAGCAAGGGTCTTACCCACTAAGCCATCTGTGGGATGGTCTGTATGTCAAATCTGTTGCTCTGATTGGTCAATAAATAAAACAATGATTGGCCAGTGGCCAGGCAGGAGGAAGTATAGGCGGGACAAGGAGAAGAATTCTGGGAAGTGGAAGGCTGAGTCAGAGAAACTGCCAGCCGCCACCATGACAAGCTGCATGTGAAGAGGCCGGTAAGCCACAAGCCACGTGGCAAGGTATAGATGTATGGAAATGGATTAATTTAAGCTATAAGAACAGTAAGCAAGAAGCCTGTGGCAAGGTATAGATGTATGGAAATGGAT